CCAAATTCCTTGACATGTCTGTGTGTGGTGGCTCTTGATGCCTTGACCCCAGCCTCAGTCCATTCCTTGTGAAGTTCACTCAAATTCTTGAATCGATTTTGCTTGACAATCCTCATAAGGCTGCGGTTATTTCGGTTGGTTGTGCATCTTTTTCTTTCACACTTTTTCCTTCCACTCAACTTTCTGTTAACATGCTTGGATACAGCACTCTGTGAACAGCCCGCTTCTTTGGCAATGAATGTTTGTGGCTCCTTGTGAAGGGTGTCAATGATTGTCTTCTGGACAACTGTCTGATCAGCAGTCTTCCCCATGATTGTGTAGCCTAGTGAACACAACTGAGAGACCATTTTGAAGGCTCAGGAAACCTTTGCAGGTGTTTTGAGTTGATTAGCTGATTGGCATGTCACCATATTCTAATTTGTTGAGATAGTGAATTGGTGGGTTTTTGTTAAATGTGAGCCAAAATCATCACAATTAAAAGAACCAAAGACTTAAACTACTTCAGTCTGTGTGCATTGAATTTATTTAATACACGAGTTTCACAATTTGAGTTCAATTACTGAAATAAATGAACGTTTCCATGACATTCTGATTTATTGAGATGCACCTGTATATAATTATAAAAAATGCATTTTACGGTAGGCAGCTAAGCACACATGATGTGTCATTCCTGTATCATAATTAATGGACAACTGTACCCGTGAAAAGACATCAGCAATCCGGCGCAGTGAAAAGAAAAGAAAAAAAAGGATGAAGCCTGTGCATCACTTTCAGGTACATTCATAATCCTGTTAAACTTTTTTGGTTGTTGACGTTAATAACGTGTTTTAATGTCAGTAATAATTTAACCACCAACAACGCATCTAATATTCTCTTTGCATTTCCATGTTCCCTTATGAAAATTAGCCATAGTTCTACTATGAATAAAACCACAAATCATGGTTATTGTAGCCATGGGTGGTATTACCACAAATTAACCATGGTTTTGTTACTTAAAAATAATAGTTTACAAAGAATTATTCAGATAATATTTTTTGTGGTTGTAAAAACAGTCCTAAGCCAACAACAATATTTAAAATGACTTAAAATGCATTATATAAAAGCAATGAGGTAAAAATGATTGGTTAATAATTACATGGTTTCATTTAATAACACTATTAAAATACATAATATAGGCTAATACAAAATAAAAAATGTATGTACATTACACGTTATTACAAATGCCTATAAAGGGCGCCAAAGGCCTGGTAATTGCTGCTGTTACATTTACAGGATGATCAAGTCCTTTAATATTGACCAAATATTTAATTCAAATATCCACTTAATCTTTAATTTTTGGCCACCTTTTTTGAGATAGAAATGATACAGCCTCTATAATTTCAACAAAAACATGTGGACATAACAACTCTAACAAAAATTAAGCATGATTTTATCGTAGTAAAACTGCTTAGTTTTCTAGATTTCTGAATGCTTGAGACTATAAAATCAATCAGACAACTGTAAAATCATAGCCATAGCTAACTGTCTAGACAGCTACAATTGTAATTTGTAAATAATACAATTTAATTACAATTTATTTATTCACTTTTACATTTTATTAAAGTTCTATTTTGACCCCTATAGTAGGTGTTTTTTTTACATCCATAATATTTGAGGGAGGGGGCACAACAATACAATTCTGCTTAGGGCCCCATTTGGCCAGCAACAGCCCTGCAGAAGAGTCACGATGCGAAAAGTGAGAAGAAAGATCTGAGGGAAGTGATTCAGGGCAAGTGGGCTGAGCACAAAAAAAGAAAGATCTGCCATCTGATGGTTCGACACAGGACCTGAATGTGAGATATGCTTTGATAAACACATATATTAACAGACTAGATATTTTTAAGGTTATAGCTTTCTTCCCAGATATTGGCATCTTTTAAGTTGGAAGCTCCCTCATAGCACCAACTCATGGAAACAAACTAAGGCAAAAACAATGGGGAGTGGTTTTTGCCTTAGTTTGTTTGACGCATCCTTGGGTTGAGTCGAACCCCCTATTAAGTAGGATTTTGAAATTGAGTCCTCTGTTCCCCAAGAAGAGATTTTCTGATCACTAGAACCTAACAGGATGGTTTCTTCACATAAAATTGCAAACCGTTCTTGTTGTAGAGCCCCTGTGGGGTGCTCCTTGTAGAGTCCTAGTAAAGACTGCAGTTCAGTGAGTTCCCTTGAATAGTGATGTCTGTGCTATGGGCGTGAGTCACGACCCTTACCTAGTTTAGGGTCATTATGGAGGGTCCTCTTCTCGAAGAGCTAAGTATGACTTCTTAAAAACCTGTCATACGAAACAAACTCAGAATGTTTTCCTAGTATCGAAAAGAAGGGTTTCATTTGCAACAAGGTTTGGATGCCCTTATTGTTGTGGTAAGTCCAGAGAACAGTTTTGGTTAATACTGAGCTTACTTCCTTTTCCAATCAGGACTTCAGGATTGTCACCCTGATATGAGCTTTGTCAGCTTCCTGAAATTATACCACCTGAAGACAGCAAGATCAGGTGGTAGCAGCTAGCAGTTTTTGATATGCAAGTCTTTAGGGTTGAGTGCAGAGTAGTGCCTCCCACATTCTAAAGAGTCCTTAAACTCCTGCCCACAAAGTTACACATCTCAAGAGCTCAATGAGAAGACAATGAGACACTGCACCTCACTTCAAATCTTTGGACTGCCTAGTCACTTCTTCATCAGACAAAAGAGGATGACACTACTGATGCCCTTTAATACTCACAGTCACACTGGTAGTGATGCCATGGACTGTCGTCAATCAAGAATGTTGTGTTTTGACATGCTTCAGACACCAGTCAAGCTGGAGGCAGTCCCCCATCTCAGACAGTCTTTTTCCCATTCTCAGAGAACAGAAAGGAGAGAAGGAGAGAACATCTCCGGGTTGCCTGTGTCAGGGCCGCTTCATCGTCTTCTTAGAGGACTTATGGGCCGGCTGGGACACGGGGCCGCAGTCCTCTGAGAGGCTCGACGCGACGGCCTCGACGGTGTCTCAGCACGGAACGGAGGCGCTCTTGAGGACGCAGGGCGACGAGCAGAGGTCACCGAATAGGACAACCTGCGAGATGGGAGTGTCGACATCTCTCATCTCAGCTAGGTTGAGCCAAAGATGGCGCTCTTGACATCACCTTCCCGAGGGACTGCGCCATAACTTTCGTCGCCTAGAGGGCGAAGTCAGTCGCCATGCGCAGTTCCTGCATCAATCCCGGGTCGGAACTACTCTCGTGCATCTGTTTGAGTGCCCTGGCTTGGTGGACCTGCAGTATAGCCATGGCATACAGGGCAGATGCAGCTTGGCCCGCAGCACTGTAAGCTTTGGCGGTGAGAGCCGCCGTCAGCCTACAGGCTTTGTCATGAGTCATCCACGAACGCAGCTTCAGCATGTTGGATGCCCAGACACTGAAGACAATGATTGTGTCTGTCGACAGAGGACAGGTAACGACCGCAACCAACAATAACACGGATGGAACGGCATCTTTAAAAAACGCAAGCCATCCGTGATGAGAAACTGCTCTTTTAGTTGAAGCATCCAGGGGAATCGCTGATTCAACAGGGACACTGCTGTTTGTGCCGTCACGCCAACCAGGAACAGCTTCTTTCTTCCAGACAGAACGAAAAGGCTTTGTGGAGAAGAAATCATTCACCCACTCGGCTTTCAAGAAAAAATCTGAAGAGTGGATGCACCTGTCATCTATTTATACCCGTATGCATGGGGAGTGGCTCAGGTATGCAACAAGAACAACAATCATGAGCAAAACACCCACCCTCCAGAAGTCCCCAGTTGATGTCTTGATTCTCGGGTTTGGTCAGCGCTGGGTACTTGTTGAAGAGATTGGCCACAAAGGCCAAGTTGAGTTTAGGGTTGCCAGACACGACGTCAGTAGACGTGACAAACTGTCTGCAGCCCAGCCTGTCTGCCTGCAGCAGCATACACTCGGCTCTCTTCAGGTCATCGTTCTCCTGCAGAACACACACCAGGACAAGCTGAGATCATTGCCAAACACAATTCACTGCATTTAGCTGCTGACAAATTAACTAATCTCTCCCTCTATGCTTTAATGGGACAGATTTGCATAAGCCACAGATGCAAAACAATCTCCTTTTCTATCCCATGGGTCAGTGAGAAAATAAGAGATAGCACAAATCAAATATAAACACTACTATGAGAAATTGCACAGACAATACAAGTACTTGAACATCACTTGAGCCAGATTCATTTGGTAGCTACACAGCCTTCAGAATCAGTTGAACGTGTAATAGTGCAGAACTCAAAATGATGTCGTGTACATTAAGGCTTTGTGCCAAACCCTAGTGAGCCGCCTACCTAGGCTGCATTTTTAGGACTTCCAAATTAAACAATGACAAGAAGACAAGCAATAAGGAGCTGTGTTGCCTCTCTAAAACACTTTTTCCGGCATTGTTTGTTGCTTTAAATATTTTAGAAAGGATGGGTTGTTAGAAAAAATTAAGTGTAAAAATAAACTGTTCAAAAGTTTGGGGTCAGTCGTTTTTTTATAGAAATGAATGCATGCAGTTCTTTTAAAGAATCAAAGAATCTCTGAAAACTATGTATCACTATGCATCCAAAAATATGAAGCAGCACAACTGTTATTTTAATTATTACAGTATTCTAATTTGTTGAGCTAGTGAATTGGTGGGTTTTTGTTAAATGTGAGCCAAAATCATCACAATTAATAGAACCAAAGACTTAAACTACTTCAGTCTGTGTGCACTGAATTTATTTAATACACGAGTTTCACAATTTGAGTTGAATTACTGAAATAAATGAACTTTTCCACGACATTCTAATTTATTGAGATGCACCTGTATATATTTCAACAGTGTATACTGTCAAAAGAATTAAAAAATATCAAGTTTTTTTTTTTTTTTGATGAACCACATAAGTAGAGAACAAAATGAAGCGATTCACCAGTTTGAAACAGAATGCAAGACATGGAGGTTCAAGCATTGAAAGGAAACGTCTCAGGTTACTTATGTAACCATGGTTCCCTGAGTAGGGAACGAGACACTGCGCCCTCTAGGGGTCGCTATGGGGAACGCCTCGTCGTGACCCGTGTCTGAAGCATACATAAATGTGAGCCAAAATCATCACAATTAATAGATCCAAAGACTTAAACTACTTCAGTCTGTGTGCACTGAATTTATTTAATACACGAGTTTCACAATTTGAGTTGAATTACTGAAATAAATGAACTTTTCCACGACATTCTAATTTATTGAGATGCACCTGTATATATTTCAACAGTGTATACTGTCAAAAGAATTAAAAAATATCAAGTTTTTTTTTTTTTTGATGAACCACATAAGTAGAGAACAAAATGAAGCGATTCACCAGTTTGAAACAGAATGCAAGACATGGAGGTTCAAGCACTACCTAGGCTGCATTTTTAGGACTTCCAAATTAAACAATGACAAGAAGACAAGCAATAAGGAGCTGTGTTGCCTCTCTAAAACACTTTTTCCGGCATTGTTTGTTGCTTTAAATATTTTAGAAAGGATGGGTTGTTAGAAAAAATAAAGTGTAAAAATAAACTGTTCAAAAGTTTGGGGTCAGTCGTTTTTTTATAGAAATGAATGCATGCAGTTCTTTTAAAGAATCAAAGAATCTCTGAAAACTATGTATCACTATGTATCCAAAAATATGAAGCAGCACAACAGTTATTTTAATTATTACAGTATTCTAATTTGTTGAGATAGTGAATTGGTGGGTTTTTGTTAAATGTGAGCCAAAATCATCACAATTAATAGAACCAAAGACTTAAACTACTTCAGTCTGTGTGCACTGAATTTATTTAATACACGAGTTTCACAATTTGAGTTGAATTACTGAAATAAATGAACTTTTCCACGACATTCTAATTTATTGAGATGCACCTGTATATATTTCAACAGTGTATACTGTCAAAAGAATTTAAAAATATCAAGTTTTTTTTTTTTGATGAACCACATAAGTAGAGAACAAAATGAAGCGATTCACCAGTTTGAAACAGAATGCAAGACATGGAGGTTCAAGCATTGAAAGGAAACATTATTTGTGGTGTGACTGCACACACTAACACAACACGACGGCAGCGGAAAGCTGAAACAGTGGGTAATGTAGATGATGAAATGACCCTGACTGTGTCCCAGTGCTACAGCAGCTGCTGGCGAACCACAGCACACAGTCAATAACAGCTGCTCTGGCCAGCGTGTGGGGTTAAATACTCTCACATGAGTCACCCAGAGCTCAAACATCAGACCTCTGTCTGTTTAGACGCTGCTGGGTAATGGGCAACGTTGTTATTGTCCCGAACCAAACCAGTGAATGACTTGAATCATGGCGTACTGGGGGTGGAATGTGGCATCCACAGTGTTGTGACTGCCAGGGGCCACAGACTGGAACACAATGTGCAATAAACAGTGGCTTTTTGCTGAGTTCCTACTGGAATTCACTATTGTCAGAAACACATAAAGAAAACACATCCTGCTTAGAATTTGCAGTTCTTAATTTTGGCATTGATTATGAAAATCAATCCCAGGTTTGCATACACTTTCACCCTCTCATGCCAAGTTTAGACCCTCAGAGAAACACTTGTGTTTGAACTGCTGATGCTTGACAACTGCTCTCCAAAAAGCAGGAAGCTTGAGGCTTTCAGGAAGTCCCTAGTGTGTCTCATCACACATCTCAGATGAACTGCCTCCGTCCTGACTTACAATGAGCTGCTACAGGGACTGAAGCTTTGATATTCGGATACAAACCTTCCTCCTCTACTGAGAGCAGCTCACTACTGTGAATGCATTAAAAGACCTTAGATATTGTGAAGCTGAACTTATATTTCTGGTCTCACATTTTTGGGCTGGTTTATGACACAGAAACACATAGTGAATGATGTGCATTTTAAAAGTGTATTGTTTGAACTCACGCTGAAGCCTGACATGTCAATGTCAATACGATCTTCACCCTCCTTTTGACCTTTCGGCGCGATCTGGTTGAGCAGGTGGAAATAAGCCCTAGAGTCCTGCAAGAGCGAGAAGAGAAAAAAAATATTTAAATGAACGTAGTGTAATGCTGCCTTCAAGTCCTGTCTGTAGGATTGTATTTATGAGCTGAAAGCACATGAACGCCATAGTGGCATAATTACTAGAGACAGAACCTATTATGCCACTGCATGCAACAGAAAACAATGTTTACTTATTTTTATGTTAAAAGCTGAAATGAAACATTTATTGATTGTCAGAGACTTCAAACTCATCAAGTTTCAGTCATTAAAAAATGACGTCAATCTCTACAAAATACTTGTGGGATTTTCTTTGAGCCCAGACTTACTGAAATTTGACAATATGTTAAAAGAAAGGTTTGCATATGTGCCTTTTGTTAAGTATCATATTAGATACAGGAATTTATAGCTCATATGCAGTGATAATATGGAGCTCACACTCAAGGAGGATAATCCCTTTCATTGTAGACCTAAACTGAGCAAAAATATGCAATTTGTTGCAGATGAAATGCTGTTAGCTTGTAATGTATATCTATAAAACAGTATAGCAGACTACTTATATGAAATGCATATAAACATGTGTTTTCACTGTTTATGACAGAAGGCATGTAGTAGATTGTGTGCCACATGTTTTTCAGCAAAGTTTTGATCATTTAGAGGCATTAGATATTTGTGTATCAAATATGATAAAGCAAGCTTAATGTGGTTAAAGAATCATTTCATAAGGTGCTATTAATCATATTTAGGTTTTCATTGTGAATATTGCTTGTACAATTTAGTTTCTATGCATTTTTGAGCTGTTGTTAAATAATAATTATAAGGCTTGCCAAAAATACTATGAGGCAACAGGCTTTTGCAACTACAGTACTATAACGGTCCAATGCATCCATTTTATTTTGACCAAAATAACAATGGACTTGAAGGCAGCAGAATACATTTACATTGTGAATTATATTTAGATGAGACACAATCCAGAGAGATTTGTGAAAATGTCAGAAACACACAATCATGCATGAATTCCTGAGAACATGAATGTGGTAGATTTGAATGAATGAACAAACCAAACAACAACAAAAATGCATACTGTAACCGATCTACAGTACATTTGGAAAAGTACCTTTACACAGTTTGAAAAATCTGTTAACTGCAGCATAGAGAGAGATAGAGACAGATATTAGTTAAATCATTCAGTAGAGATCAGTCTTTTATCACCAAACCCCTTTTTTGAGAACAATTAAGAGTTAAGAGAGCAATCACGTAACAGCTCAGGTCACATATCTTTTATTAGATACTAAATGACCCCTCGCATGTTTTACAAAATTCATGGTATGCCAGAGCATTTGAAAGTCAAAGTAACTGCCCTTTCACTCTGGGGAACTGCCTTTATGAAACAGAAAATGGAGTTAGCTGTTATGTAAATTCTAATTTGGATAAATTTGGCAACATGACTCCACTCATTTGAGGCTGAGAATTATTTCACCCTTAAAGGAAAGCTAAAGTAAATCTGTCATCTAACCATTAGTTTTTCAAGAGATTTAAAAAGCGCAAAAAACGTCTACGTAAACCTTTCCATTTGACATTTACACGTTTTATGTTATTCCATTTTTATTTTTTTTTGCAGGTACATGTAATTTAATATACTGTAGTAGTATAGCATATCATTTAAAGTCTCTCTTAAACTACATGTACATGGAAAAACTCCCTTTCACAATGCTAGGGTGTTGATATGCTGATGTTGTGGTGTTCTGAAGTCAAAAGAGTCCACCCACTACCAAGTCCCTATAATATGGTGTGCTCTTTATATAACTCTGGATTTGAATAGAAAGATAATAGAACGCCTCTTCTCAATAAGCCATGCTCCTCTGCTCTGCACATTTTGTGGCTGCGACTGAAAGCTTGATGACTCGCTGCCATATCAGGCAATAATTTTGCAGGCTGCGTTTGTGCACGTACGTAGCTACCTCATGAAACTGATTTCAGATGGGCGTCTGAGGACGTGTAATAGTTTAATGAGCTACAACAAAATTACTGCAATACTAATTTCTTGCTAGAAATGACATCAAAAGTGGATAAAGTTTGTCAAAAACCTACATTTACACAAACTGACCAACAACAGCAACTTTCAGACGCCATCTTTATTTTTAGCTCAACTGTCACAGAATCAAACACACAGGATTGTGGGATATCAAAGGCAGCGAAGGATACATCTTTGCTGCCGTCAAAAATCGATCAGATAAAGGCATCTCAGGAGACAGGAAGTGAAACTAACATTAGATTAGGATGTGCCTTGATACCTTTCTACCTTGGAATGCATCTTTAAAGGCAGCATTTTTCAGCTTTCAGATACAGTCCACATGTCTTCCTTTTCTAACACACCTGATTCTGATCATCATTAAGGAACCATGAGGCTCCATGAGATCAACTGGTCTCCGGGACCAGAGTTAAGAACCACTGCTGTTTAATACAAACACTAACTTTAAGTATGAGCAACACTAACAGTGATTGCCTTAATGCACAACACTAAAAACAACTTTATCTGTGACTACTTAACCACTATTGCACTGATTGGCAAATATTATTCAAAACAACAGGACTGTAACAGAAATATTCACAAAAATTTGACCATGAAACTATTTATGATGCTTACAATACATAATATGGTTAGTAAAGTCAAGTCATGACATTTTAGTCTTTCCTTTATAGCGAACATGGCATCAACACTGATGTGCACATAATTTTAAGGGAAAATATTTGAAATTCATATTTTTTATGAACTTTTTTTTTCTGGAATACATCACAGTAAGAACTTAGAATGCAGTTTTCAGGTTGTCTGTAGAAAAGATATCTGACAACTGGTTTCCTCTTGTTTTGTCAGGAGCTCCAATTTCAGTTACATGTGTTACAACAGAGACATTATGAACATTATCATCCATTACATGATAATAATACATCTGCACAGACTAATATGTTACTTCAATAAGCAGGAAATCAATTGTATATCAATTATCTTGATAAAAGAATAAAAGCCCTCATATGAGAGTGGTACTATGCATTTAAAACTTCACTATAGGATCTCAAACCAACAGTTTTCATTTCTTACAACTAAATGAATGTAAAAGATACGCTGGACTACCACTACAATGCTCATGCTTAATATCCTCATGAAAACATTAGTAGAGACAGAGATCTGATCATTTATTAGCATGCAGACACACAATCAGAGCACAGTAAACAAACACATTAAGACTGACCTTAATGTCATGGCTGAAGTTGTTGATCTTGCTCCAGCCGGCATTCTCCAGGTGGAAGTTGGCCCAGCGAAGCAACAGTTCCTCTGGAGACAGTTTCATCAGGTCCTCTAGTGTCTCTCCATCCCTCAACAGTGCTGCCAGAGCTGAAACAAGACCATGTGTATCAGTTAACCAGAATGCTGCGAAGCCCATGATTTAAAGGTGTATTCACTTTTGCCAAACAGTTACATACAGGATTTTCGCTGAACAGTGAACACTGATAATTTCTCAATTCCTGTTGTGCTTCAGAAAGCCAATTCACTTAATTTCAAACTGACCAGGCTCTTTCCAAAACCTCAAAGTGCACTACAACTCATTTGCTATGTTAAACATCTATGTCAGAGGTTCATCTAATGTTTACTGTAGTGTCTATACTTTTCCCACCACATTCAAGTAGGCAAAGGTAAACCCACGATTAAAAACTGTACACTAGCAGAAAATGACAGACCAGCTTCAGTTTTCTTGTAAAAAATGAATAATATATTGTTCATATATTTTTTCAACCAGGTGTTTTTCCCTTTCACAGATCAAACAAACCATTGGAGTACCTCAAGGTTCGGTGTTGGGTCCCTTTTCCTTTTTATAATTTACACAATGTTGCTGGTACCTACCGTCCAGTCACATGGATTTTCCTGCTACTGCTACACTAAGGAAATAAAGATCTACTAGGTACTTGCATGTATCTCAGCTTGGCTGGCAAACTTTGGCTTGGATGAAGGAACACCCCCCTAGCTATACACTAATCACTGTTTAGCAAGGCCCATTAATAACAACACCATTTTAGACTAGATTACTGCTATGTCCTTCTAGCTATTCTCCCTGCTTATGCACACAAACCTCTGCAAATGATCCAGAACACAGCAACATGTTTATGGATTTTTAACTAAATGAGAACCCAGAAGACAGCGCATTTGTCTCACTTTTACTGAAGGTTGTTGCCTGCAGTTCAAGGCACTGACGCTTGTATACAGAACCATCACTGGATCTAAAAATGTCAAGCCAAGGCAATTATATTATTTGTTTATAATTTGTCATCCCAGTCCTGCTTTGTGACTAATCATTTCTGGCAGTCTGTCGGATGAAAATCAATTTTATGTAATAATATAAATGTTTATTGATCCTTTCAGAATGATTCTCATTCATTATAAACAAGGTTCGTCTAAGGCTAGACAACTCTCTCTACAGAACTGTTAAGGCACAGATACTCTTGGACAGGTCTAAACTCCCTTAAGTTCAATTTGGGAGAAAACGAACTGTTCAGTCCAGTAATGAGGTCAGATATAAGAGTTCAAGTCTGCCACAACAGTCAGTTCAGTCAGTTGGGTTAACATTTAACTTCTTTAAAAGAGACGGTTTATCTGTTTGTCAGGATTCCTGGACGTTGTCATCAGCCGTGACAATGCCAGCTCTATTTGGACTAGACGTGCAACCGTGTTTGTGCAACAGAGACACATACCCTCATTTCTGCTCAGCTCAATGTCAGCAAACAGACCAATTTTGATGATCTGCCACAGCAGGCCCAAAACCAAATGAGGTTTGCCTTCTCGAAGGTCCAGAGCCCCGATGTTGACCACATGACAGCCAATGGCAGAGGCCGAGTTAAGAGCCAGGTTAAGATTCTCCTGCAAGACAGAAGCAATGATGTCTGTTAGGCTCAAACCTCTCTCCAACATATATGTGCTTTAATACATTGGGTGAAAAAATTGATTAAAACCATGGAAGTGTTCCAGAGTCATATTTTTAAAAAATAATCTTAAAAACAGAACCAAACCTGTATTGTGAATGCTGTAACTTTCTTCTTGTTGATGGTCCTCTCATCAATAGTATCAGGTACTGACAGGTTGATCATTTTACTAAAAGAAAGCAAAGGCACATGCATTTAGGTGGTTTCTTAAACAATATAAAATACTAAAACCACAGACAAGATGTTAAGGAGTGTGTCTGACTTACCACAGCACAATACCGTCTCCTACAGCCTTGAAGAGGTCATCTGTATTGGGATTCATGGGCAACACATGTTTACAGTCAGGGTCTTGTTCCAGTGCTGTGTTGATCCAGTTCGCGAAAGCAAACCTCTCCTCCTCTGGACGAGGACACAGAGAACAAGATCACATTACAAACAAAACGAAAAACAAAAGGACAGTACATACTATAAAGTATGTTATGGGATTTTGGACCTGGTATTACCATATCATTGTTTGAAGTGCCTTGCAGTAGCATGTAGATATCAAGACACGAATATGGCAAATCCACACAAAGACACATTATTACCATCTGAAACCATTACTTTTCCTTGTACACTCCAAGCCAGTGGGAGGTGTGGTGCAATGTAATTAAATAAAAAGGAAGCAGTGTTTTGTTTGATCCAGTGAAAGCAGAGGCGTTTTACCTGAGAAGGAGTGCTGTGTGCCCGCACTGGAGAGCTCAGATGTGCCTCCGATAGCCAAGATACCCTCTTTCCTGTTGATGGCCTTCCGGAAGCTCTTTGCTATGTCACTGCTCTTCAGCTCTTGAAAGATCTTTGCAGACACAAGGGACCATGATATTAATGATAAAATAATTCTCAAATGCTCAGACACATGATATAGTAACTGTACAGCACCCAAAGATGCAACTGTTAGCTAACTATTTACTTAGTTTACTCGTCTGAAACTACTTTGCTTAATAAAACAACAAAAATAATATAAAACGTTCTCCTTGATATTTTTAATAAGATACACTTTATTTTGATAGTCCACTTTAGACATTCTGCTAACTACTGTATAAGTAGCTTTGCAACTTCTCTACGTCTCAACTAACTCTCATTAATTTGCAACTACATGTCAACTAACTCTCATTAGAGTATTATTTGACTGTTAGGTTAGGGTTAGACTTAGTATAATAAGATGACATGTATTTGCAAAGCTATTTATGGTCAAAAGAATGTCTGTTGTGGGACCATCAAAATAAAATGAAACAATAATAAAATAAACCTTTTATTATGTCAAATCTGTTCCTTGACGCCATACTATATTGTGAATATAGTCACTGCACAATGTGTCTGATAGCACATTTTAGCATGGGACTTTAGCATTGACTCGTGTACCTTATTGCTTAAATACAACCGACTCACACATGAAGAAAATATGTATTACTAATTTAAAAATACGCAAATGCACATGTGGTCAAACACACACAAGGTCTTTGAAACTAAACAGATGTACATATTTTCTGACATGTGGCATGTGTGGGTAATTAAAGCATGACTGTCAGTGCCAAGTGGAACATCTAGTGAACGGAGGCCGCTAGCAGCTGCTCCTCGCAGCAGTGCAAACAAACCCAGGGTTGTTCAACAGGATGACACTCTATTTACAGGAAGCATCAACAGTCTCAATGAAACTGAATTGTTATCAACAATTACTGACTGCAAAAATGCTATAGACCAGAATCTATAGATATGTCTTAGGTCTCTCCATTAAATGTACATTACTGGTCAAACGTTTGGAATAATTACGATTTTTTTTAAAGGGGTCATATGATGCGATTTCAAGTTTTCCTTTCTCTTTGGAGTGTTACAAGCTGATTGTGCATAGATAAGTTCCCTGAAGTTGCAAAGACTAAAGTCTCAAAACCAAAGAGATATTCTTTATCAAAGTTAAGACACTGCTCGTTCTAACACGCCCCCACATATCTAGGTCACTATGTGGGAATATTTGCATAATGCGCACAAATGTGCACGCAAAGAAAGAAGGCGTGGTTTCAGTAACCGCAGTTAGTGTTGAAGCAGCATGTCAGGGAGACGCTGTGTGTTTCTAGGCGAAAGCAAAAGCACTTTATTTGGCCTTCCGAAAGTAGATGCATTTAGGAATCTTTAAGAT